CGGTCATGGTGATTCATAAAGAACCTTACACTAAAGCTGCCACTGGATGTGTGGAGTGTTTACTATTTAAATTTGCAACATCCGCGAGGCCATTTTTGATGTCTAGGGTTAATTATGAATTGTCTTCAATTCTATGCATTGTAGAAAATGTGGATAATGAGGCCAGTCAATCGTCGGCATAATGGCAACTCGAAAGGGGTAGGTATTTAGAATAACTGTGGTTAACTATAACCCCAACGCTAACCATTGCCTTGCCTGTAACTAATAACCCTAAATCGGCGTGTTGGCTGTTAAGAAAAACTCAAAGGTTGCCGCCAAGTTAACCCATACCCTGGAACAGTAGTAATAACATTAAATCTAAACCCAAATCTAGCTGATAATCCAAGCTTGGCAAACATATCCCTAAAGTTCCTAATACAAGCGAACAGGCGAGTCCCAGGAAGTAATTGAGAAGTAGAATACGACTCGATCGCTGGACCAACACTTTTATTTGCCCGACGCTTCGACATCCTTCACGTTTTCTTCATCAGAGACATGAGTCGTTCCTGCTACCATTCTCTGTTCATGTCTCTGATGAAGAATGCGCGACGTATATCGAAACGTCAGACAAATAAAATGTTGGCCCAGCGATCGAATCTTCTTCTTCCCAATATCCCTAAGAAGAGCCCAAAGCCTGACAGTTAGTCTAGATCTAATCGTGACCCTAAGCCTCACCATGAAACCAATAGGGACTACGTTAATATCAGTAGCTCTCACGAAAATCAAAATCCGCGTACCACATAACGCATTTTACGACCAACCAAGCCACAATGGACCACACCTGTGTAAATAAGACAAAAGGGTAGATTTTTGACCCACCACCCAGTGGGGTTACGCAACATATCCCCACTGGCATTCAGAACTGATTGGTATCCATACAACTGTTAAGGTCGAATACCAATTTTTCCCTAATAGGTAGAGACGGAGAAGGCGTTCTGATAATCGGAATGATAATTTTATTCGTCTGAGCTTTCGGGCTCTTACTAAAGTCCATCGTCAGAGATAAAAACGTCAACGAAAAGCGGGCAACAGTTATAGGGTGCAGGGGCCAATCACTCCGGTGATCGAAACGCCTTCTCCTTCTCTATCTATTCACATACCTGGAATGCGGAAATTTGCCTCAATTTTTCCTTAATCTCAAGTTTCATCACGTGCTACCAGCGTATCATCTAGATTTTCGCCTTGCGAAACCCCTAAGGAGGATGTCTGCGATTTTCATTCTCGTCAACCAGTGAGGACGAACGATCAGATCAGACGTCACGAAAGCAAATGGATCAGTCCCTCAACGAACCTGCACGAGGAACGTCTCGCTAAGTGTTCAGTTCAGTGAGGGCGAGTGAAACGTCAGCGGGCCCATTAAGATGAATGGAAGCGTGGCACGTGCATTAAACTGTCAATCAAACTAAGACGGGCTATATTTAGCTACATTTGTAGTATGCCCGTCGAACGCGGGATGTAAATGGGTCGGAATCCGGTTGGTTTTCTCGGTATTCTATTTCAATGGGGTCTAGTGGCTTCCTATAGAAGGCCTAATTGCGAAGAGTAATATATTTTATGGAAGCGGTCGCGCAGTCACATAAACCAGGAGCCATCTGAGGATTCGCGTGGAGTACGGTTTATTGACCGTGGATGAAACAAGTCTGTCCATATGCGCGTACACCTCAGGTGTCCGAGCAGCTAGGTGGTCGCTAGACGTTGGGGAGAGAGTGAGCTCGGCCCTCAGCGCGCTGCTCTCCTCTTTATAATGAATATGAATGCGCTTGAATCTATCATGGTGCGCAAAAAGCCGTGGCTTGGAGGGTTTGCCAACTGACCGGATAACTCGGATTACTTATGTTTCTGCTCCTCTAGTACGCGTGTGTTTGTGTGTGTGCGTATGTGAGGAGGTGGAAGACCGAGAGTCAGGCTGCAATGGCTCCTTCTTAATGTGCACGTGTTGAGTGACTGTTGCGCCAGCCACCTACACCCTCCCTCATCCCCGGTCTTATTTACTTTGTCCTTACACAGGAAACGGAGGTGGGAGTGGCGAGCGAGTGGGTAGATTCCCCGCGAGTCTGCTTTAACTCTTGTTTTTCATTCGCGGTAGTTCGCTGCGTTCATTCCGCTTGCTGTAGACTTCGTGCAGCTTTCCCAGCTTGCCTCAGTGTCTGCTTCGGCCAGCTTCAACGTTTGCTGCGGCTTGTTGGAGCACGCGACTCTCCATCGCCGAAATCGACGGGGGAACTCTCGTACACGTATATGTATCGTCGGGTAGGTGTCCGAATGAAAAACGATTTTAAAGGCAGAATAACTTTACCGGAAAAAGACAAGGGAGACTAAAATTGTTATTTCTGGTTTATTAGCCGTCCTCAGACAATCACACCCGAACCCGCAACCCTTTAGGCTTGAGCCTGTGACTTGCTAGCTAGGTGCCAAACGCCCTAAATATTGGGCTCGTTGCCCCATCGGACCAAAGCGGCGGCGGCTGGCGGGGGATTGGTATTGAGGCCTAGGCCACATCGGAGCGTGTGTTCCGTAACGCACCCTTC